AATAATAATAAAATAATTAGAAATTTAATACTGACTAAATCTTTTGTTAATATAATTATATTTACTTACAATCTTATGTAATTAGTGTGAAATTCGACACTGAATGTTAGCTGCAAGTTGTCGAAAATCTGGTGTGTAGCTGGAACAGGCTTCTCTTAGTGCATCATCTAACTGTGAGTCTGTTGGGCAGGATCGGTACTTATTTTTGATGATGCTCATAGATGAAAATGCAACTTCGCACAGATATGTCGAACCAAAACAAGAATACATTTTCAGAGCAATCCCAATCATGGGATATTTATTCCTGTCCACCAGAGTCCAGAAATTGCTACAAGTTGCAAATGAGGATTTCAAAGATATGTCTTCTTGGAAATTTAAAATTTCCATTTCTAATTCTTCAAGATTATACTTTCCGAAGATTTCACACACCTCCCCTCCAAGTTCACTAACGTCAACAGTAGCGAATGGATTACTGATAAACATTGTCACTGGTTCAAGTGTTGAAAACGGGCTAAATCTATTACCAAATTCGGTCACAAGGGCTTCAAGATGCTGGGCAAAAGATGGAAGATCGTATTCACAGCCATTTAAGGTTTCCACAACAGATTTCATATGCGGAAAATGTGAAAGGGAATTTCTGTGTAAATGTGCAAGCCACAGCTTTAGTTTCTTTTGAAAAGCATTAACCACAATTATCATGCTTGAAATGTTATGATCTTTCCCTTGTAATTCAAGGTTTAACTCACTTAATTTTGAGGTGATACCTGCCAAGAAAGCTAAACCTAGTAGCCATGATATTGCATCAAGTTCTTGATAATATTCGCCAGGAGATGATCTCAGAAAGTCCCTGACCTCATCCAGAAGACAGAAAAATCGTTCCAGTGTTTTCCCTCTACTAAGCCACCTGATGTCTGCATGGAAAATTATGTGACCATGCTCAGTGTCCGACACATTCAAAAGATTTCTGAACAATCGATGACGAGTAGAAGACGATCTGATATAATTTACCACACGAGTTACTACATTCATAACATGGTCGAACTTCAACATCTTTGCGCATAAACTTCCTGGTGTATAATGCAGTGATATGAGAGAACACTGGGAAATGATTCATCCTTAGCACAAAGAGCAAGAAACGCATTGTTCCTACCAGTAATTGAAGGCGCCCCATCTGTAGTTACAGCAACAAGTTTAGAAAGCGGTAAGTTACATTCTTTCACAAATTTAAGGAACACATTACATATGTCTTCTCCCCTAGTACATTCAAGAAGTGGCAGCAGTTTAACGAACCCTTCCTTTACCGTGAAATCACCAAAAACTATTCTAACAAATACATATAATTGTGCAACATCCGATATATCAGTGCTTTCATCAAGCTGGAGTGAAAAATATTCGCACGATTGCAAATCCTGATGTATTTGAGATTCCAGATTATCAGAAATCTGTTCAACTCGTCTAGCAACAGTTTGGTGATACAACTGAAGTCCTTTGATAGAAGACATAAGTGCAGATTTATTTTTGTGACCATCGAATAGAGACTCGCCGGCACTGATCATAGCTTCTTTAGCTATTTCCCCATCACTGAAAGGTTTTTTCCTTTTAGCTAACACATGACAGATTTTATAAGAAGCTATTGTTACGTTACTGCTTTGCTGGATAGGCTTTGTAAATACACGTTGTTGCAAGGTTAATTTAGATTTTAGGTCTTTCACCTTTTGTTTTCTTAGTTCAGATTTCACAGGAAATTCATTGTTGAAGTTATTGTTGTGGTTAGTCAAAAAATGTCGCTCTACATTACTGTCACATGTTTGGAATCCAGAAGAGTCACTTCTATGGAAACGCTAGAACAGACCGTTGCGTAGGTAGCGACAAAGCGGTATTGTAGCCCCAACAGTTGGCCGTTGCCTAGGAAGTAACAATAGCGATACTGTAATCCCAACAGTGAGCCGTTGTGTCGAGAACATCGAATCTCCACGGTTACGATGAATACGCTAAGCGTTCCCACAGAGACAACGCAATAACAATGGGTCGTTGCGTAGGAATGGCGGAATCAACAAAGCAGCGTTTCCACGGTTATAACAAAGGCTCATCTTTGCATAGCATCGGCCGAGGGTATAAAAGAGGGTTGAATTCATTCGCCCAGTCAGTACCGCCGAATATGAACAGTCTACAGGAAGCCGCCGCCAGAGACAGTCTGGATCCAACCACGACAACATAAGCAGCAAAGCGTTGGGCCAGGAGCTAAGCGAAATAGAATTAGTTGTGATACTGCAAGTGCAATTCTTGCAAAGCAGGAGTAGAGTTAACGCTGATTCTTACTTATCATTCGATCTACGGGAAACTGAAAATAACAGTGCAGTGAAAGAAGAAATGTTATGCGGAAAATAGTGAAGGATTATGGCTGAGTCTCTTGTAAGAGGAAACAAGAAAATTACACAGAATGACTTGAGACGTATAATGATTGAAGAGAAACGCAAGATCTCAGAAACAGTTAAGAAGATAGATTCTCCATTAGCAAAATACAATGAGAGCGGACAGCTGTTATGCACAGTGTGTGAATCAGTAGTCCGCAGTGAAGCAATATGGAAGATCCATATCAATAGCAAGAAACATCGTGAAAACTTTGCTGATGCCAAGAGGAGAAGAGAAGAAACAGTGAATTTTGTGTGTCCTTGTGTTCCAAAACTCAAGAGACCAGCACAGACTGAAGAGACCCCACCCCCTAAAAAGCTCAAAGGAATTCTAAAAAATGCACCACAGCCGAAAATGCCAGAAGATCTTTTCGATTTGGAAAATCATGCAATTGTAGAAGTTAATCGAAATGAGGAAACTGTAATGGAAGATGGAGAGGATCCATCAGACGATGATTCTGAACCACCACCTGAGACCACCAAAACAGTTGCATCAAATCAAGAAGAGGTCCTTCCAGAAGGTTTTTTTGATGACCCCTTGCTGGATGCCAAGGCACGTAATGTGGAATACAAAGATCCAATTGAAGGGGAATGGGAGAAATTTCAGAAAGAAATGAAGGAAGAGTCCACAGTATCTGCACAGATCATTGCTGAAGATCAGGAAGAAGCCACAGCAAGAAGGAAAATCGATGAGTTGGACGAACAGATGAGGAATTGGTCCAGAGTGGTGGACCTGGAGATTAAGAGAGAAGCAGTAAAAGCTGTGAATAGAAGAAGCAATGCTGGTGACGATAACCTTGAAGCGTCTTCTGCAGATGAAGCTGAATTTGATGAGTACCTAGACTGGAGAGCCAAAGTTATATAAATAATAAATTTATGGAAGTCAGTCTGGTATTAACCGCCGAAGAAGACAGTCTTCGGGAAGCTGCCACTGAAGATAGTTGGAGCTACAGAAGTTGTAACCGTTCATCCTAATTGGTGGACTAATTTGTAATAATTAAATCTATATTAAGTTAGTATCACTTAAATACAAAGAGATACGGCAGATAGCCAACTCTTACACGCAGAAGGGACATAGTTCAAGTTTTGTTATGTGGACAGGAAGTAACATCTGGTACTTTCCTGGAATTCTGGCAGTTTCAGCAAAGTCGGAAAGGCTTTGAGAATTTGAGAACTGACAGCTTGGAACAGCTATAACTTAGAAGCGGGAGGGCCGGAGCCTCATCCCCTGATCTTAATGCATCAAGTCGCTGTCAACCTTAGCGTCAGGTCAGCAACTGCCAGAGTCACATAGCAAAGCAACCTGATTGGAAATTCTCAAATTTAGGGAAACTCCCAGTTTGAAAACTTGACCAATGTCAAAAGTGGAGGAGTGGATTTCTCCTGGAGTCTGTGGTTCGTGGACCTCAGGATTCAGAGAGAGTGCATTCCACTTCAAGGAGTCTTCATCCAACTTTTGGCAAAGTCGGATACAAATTTACAACTACGTCCCTTCAGTAAAAGTATTATAAGCAAATTTCTAAATAAGTGTTACTAATAGATTCCTTTGTATTCAGTGAGCTGGAGTGAATTAAATAATTACTAAGTGCGAAAGTCTGAAGTAGTGAATGTGATTGCAAGGAAAGATCCTTCCTGCCCTGTCCGAGCCAGACCCGTATAAGACCCCGGGATAAGTACTCATCTCTACCAATTACAGAACAGAACCCAGATACTCCCATCTTTCCCTACTTGCAAGACACTTAATGGTAGTACAGAAACCGAACTCTCGCCTACCAGCACCAACAAACAAAATCTTCCTCCCTTCCCACCTAATTTCTCGTCATCCACGAGAAGGGGGAGGGCAGTAACTCCAGCGAAGGTGTCCAGAAAGAGGTGCAGGTGAACCGCAGCACAAGGAAGGAGAGGACCCGGATAAGTGGAGACCAACGTAAAGGGCAAACGAAGTGAGCGGTTAGAAAGTATTGGCCGAGATATTGTGTAAGCAGTAACTGTAATACTGCAAGTGGCAATTCTTGCAAAGTGTATAAATGTAAAAGCGAAGAGCAATAAATACTCGCGTGACGTGCCCAAACACGTTACAACTGGTGTCAGAAGTGACTTCGAACTTTAACATGCGTCCTACAACAACAACAACAACAACAACAAAAACGGAAATGCTGAAAATAATGAACAGCAACCAAAGAGAGATGAAGGCCAACCAGGCGAAGGCGGAGGCCTATAGGATGGCAGAGAGGGAAAGGAAGGCCGATAGACAGATTGACCGAAAGGGACTAAAAGAAATGATGGAAAGGATGATGCATGCCAACCAGACCAAAACAGAAGCACAGCTCGAAGGTCTCTCCGAAAGGATAGAAAAGAAAAATATTGCACTACAGGCAGCAGAAGTGCACCGCGACGCGACAAAGAAGACCTCACAAAAACCTATAACGAAACCTGCAAAAGAGTCGAGGACACCAAACGCGAGTTCCAAGGCAGGTTGGACGAGACAAAGCAGACGAGGGTCGAGAGGACAAACACACCGGGAATCGGCGCGTGCTAAGCCCAGCCACCGACGTTCGACAGAACTACAACATGGAGCGTATTCAGACGACAGTTCGAGGTCGTGGCGGAACACAATCAATGGTCGGACCAGGAGAAATCAACATACCTGATCACCGCTGAAGGGCCGGGCGGTAGAAGTGCTACCCGGCATTCCAACAAATACAACTTACGAGGACACCCTCCAGGCGCTAGAGGACCGCTTCGGGGATTAACACTTTGCAGCCGCCTACCGCTGCCAACTGACAACCAGGAACCGGAACCCCGGAGAGCCCTTACAAGATTTCGCCACTGCCATAGAAATACTTGCCCGCCGTGCCTACCCCAACCGGCCGGCAGACTACGTAGCAAAGGAGGCGGGGAAGGCATTTACATATGGAATAAGTGATGCTGACATCAAGATCCAGCTGCTGCTGGGAGGGGAGAAGACGGTAAACGAGGCCCTCCGACAAGCCCTAGAGCTGCAGGCCGTATTAGTAGCAGTCAGACCTTACGAAAATAACACCAACACATACCGGAAGTACAGATCGTTCCCCACCCAACGAAGAGACGCACAATAGCCAAGATGCTGGAACTGCGGAGAGCCAGGGCACTTTGAGAGCAACTGCCACTATGGCAGAAGAAATGGAAATAGACAGCGCCGGGACGGACAACCAAGAGACAAGCGAGAACCGCCAGGGAGACCAGAGTGGCAACCCAGTAACAACATAGAGACAAGCTGGGGAAGGGACCAACTGGCGGGAAACGAGCGAGGGCCGGCGGAGAGGGGCGAACGCCGGCATATGCATTAAGGCCCCCCCACTACGCACCCACCGGCTCACGGAAAAGCCAACACCAGTCTGGCCACCCAAGGGTGGGTCGGCGACAAACCGTGCCAGGTGACAGTGGACACTGGAGCACATTTCACGGTAACAAGACCGGATATCGCCGCCGGATGGCCTGAGAGGCAGCCTAATCCAGATTTCACGCTACAGACCGTGTCTGGAGGACCCCTACCCATCCTGAAAGAAGTTCTGTTGACCCTGATCCTGGGGCGCCAACCGCTAACAATGTGGGTTTTCGTGGCGAATATCACCGATGAGCTCATCTTGGGACTGGACA